TTGTCTGAGTCGGGACACTTATTCCTAGCAGGACAGATTTACTCTTACGAGGTGAATACACTCTCCTCTTCCTCTCCCTTTAGAAGGTCCGTCTACGGAGGCGCTCTGAACCTTTTAAGACGCTCTTCTAGTGACAGCCAGGACACATGATTGATTTTCCAAAGCCACCGTGGAAAATGCATCTCCTCCCTCAGAATCTCATCTCCTATTACAACAATTCTACTTGTTTCTGAGGTCCTACTACCGAAACTGCGTGAAAACTATCCGTCTGTCCATCTATCTCCCTAATTTGTGGCATATGCTCAGCATCTTGCCGTCTCTGGGTTCAGACAATGAATCAATGCATGCAGGGAATTTACAGCCAGAATGAGCAAAGGATCTTTCCGGCCCCTGTTGCATGATGGGGCGTGTGCGTGGCTTTAGGTATTTTTATTCAGATCACGCTGGCTTTAGGGGAGGGGCCTCACAGGTGGTGATGGACGGGGTCAGAGTCTGGTTTCCTCACTGGCCAAAAAGCCCTTGAATCTAACGAGACCTCAGAGTCACAACGAGGCTGGGTCCGCCGAGTCCTTGCACAGGGAGCCCCGTGTGAAGCCCCGTCCAGCCGCTGAGGCCAGTGTGCCCACGCTGCAGGGACATGAGCAAAGACCGAAATCAGGCCGCCTTTTAAACTCTGCTTAGACGGATTGGCTTTTAGAACAGGGTGCCCGTCGCATCTTTTTTGGGGGGAAGAAAGGGGGGATTCCCTACTTTTCTTATCTTTTTTATTTTTGAAATAAAAATGTCTCTCCATGTTCCTGTGGCTGCAGCAGTAACATGTGCAACGCTACAAAATTAAAGGACAAACGTGTGTCAGGTAGAAAGTTGCCATTGTTCCTGGTGAAACGGCAACAGGGGAAATCGTCGTGTCCAGTCCGTCACACCTAGGACTTGCCTTCCGCGACCCAAGACGTAGCAAAGCTTGTGTATGCGTGGGGTCTTTCTGAAAGTCTTTCCACATCTATGCACTTTTATTTTTTAACGATTTATATATTTATTTTAGAGAGTGTGAGAGTTGGGGGAGGATAGAGGCAGAAAGACTCCCCACAGAGCATGGAGCCCGACGGGGGGCTCGGTGTTATAACCCTGAGGTCACGTCCTGAGCTGAAACCAAGAGTCAGGCGCTCAACTCACTGAGCCACCCGGGTGCCCCCATGGGATTTTAGTTTCATGTCGGGGCCCCTGGCTGGTTCAGTTGGTAAAGCGCGTGACTCTCGGCCTTGGGGTTGTGCGTTTGAGTGCCACATTGGGTTCAAAGATAACCTAAAGTCTTTTAAAAAAATATTCTGGTTGGGGCTCCTGAGTGGCTTAGTCTGTTAAACGTCTGCTTTCGGCTCAGGTCATGGTCCCGGGGTCCCGGGAACGCGTCCCACGTCAAGCACCTTGCTCGACAGGGAGTCTGGTTCTCCTTATCCCTCTGCCTGCTTCTGCTCTCTGTCGCTAATAAATAAATAAATGAAATCTTTAAAAAATACTGATTTTTTGAGTGAGTGATTTAGGGGCTCTTTGTTACAGAACTCGGGGTTCTAGCTCCCCAGGTGAGTATCGAGGACAGGTGTCTGCCGTCGTCCTGTGAGTGTGCACGGGGATGGGTCTGGCACCGACGTGTTGGTGGAAACCATTCACGGGTGCTGAACCCCTGGAATCGTCCTTTCTCTGGGAGCAAGTTCTGAGCTCTCGAGTTTTCGTGGCTCGGACTGTGTTGGCCCTACAGGAACAAAGCAATCTCGCCGTGTACGCATCCGTGTGGTGTTCCCAGCATCGGCTGGGTGGCCGTTGACGGCATCTGCTGCTTTGTGCCTCCCGTAATCGTCGGCATTACCGGCCTCCAAGGGCTCCCACACCGAACCCACAGACATGCCCATTTGTATTCCTGCTACGCCCAGCGCCGGTCAAGTTGGGATCTCGGTGGCATGATAAGGGTCTAGCCCTCGGATGAGAAATATTCTGTTCGAGAGATTCGTGGCAGACAGGGAAAAAACAAACAAACAAACAAAAAACAGCTTCACTATCCGCTCGTGTGCGTTTTCACTCCACGTTTATGGGACGTCCGTCTTCTGACGGGATTGAAAGGATTGCAGGTTTCTGGGAAGGCACGGACCTGCCTTCTGTATTTTTCTCACATAGAGGGGAGCACGGGGTGGGAGAAGGTTCCGTCTTTTCCCACAGCATGCAAGACGGTGGCAGTCAACTTCCAGAAGCGTCGTGTGCTGAATGGCTCCGGCAGACAGCTCGGGACTTCTCTTTGCGAGAACTCTCCCACTTCCGACTCGATGGAGTGTCGTGCGTTTTCAGGGGGCAGGGAAGGGAGACCCAGACCACCCCCACGAGCCTGACACACTCTCTGTGTGCTGGGAATGATACTGCTCAGCAGAACTCGCTCGCCGGAGAGCAGGCTGCCAGTCCCAGCCTAGGGCGTGTGCAAGGCCACCGCGGGTTCGTGGGTGTGTGGCCCGTTGCCGTGCACCGGGGACCGGATCTCTGTTCCTGCACGGTCCATCCTTGCTGTGCCGGTGTCCTCTGCATGCCGCTGCGTGTCTCTGCGTTTTTCAGGCTTGTGGATGCTTGTAAAACCTCACGGCACGTGGACACCCAGGACCTGGGCTGGGGTCAGCGGGGTCTAGCTGCTCGGTAAAACATGGCTCTGTCGAGAGACACAACAGAGAACCTTCTAGAAATACTCTACGGTGTGGTGAGGAGCGTGGGGACGGCCTTCTCCCCTTCCACCGAGGGTCCGCAGACATTGCAGGACAGGAGTCCCACTCTGGGGCTCGGCGTGAACTCCCTGTTGCCCTGACCACTCTCGAGCACCCTGACTGTGAACGCTGCTTAATGTTAGGCTCCTGGTCCCAACAGCATCATCTGTCCCTTCCTTCTGGGCTCACATTTCAGAATGCCCCGGCTTGGGATCCTGCCGGGAAGGCTGATGGCGAGCTCTTTCTTTTTTCTACATCTTTTATGTATTTATTATTTTCTCAGAAGCTCTCGGGCACGCGATGCCTCCCCATCCTCAGCACAGTCTCTGCCGCATCCCATATCACCCACTCTGATCACACACGAGCGCAGAAGGTTGACATTTTAAGCTGCCTGATCTCTTTTTCTTTCCTTTAAATGTACAAAAAAGCAAGAGAGCAGGGGAGGGCGACACGGTACCCATAGGTCATGTATCTGTCCATCTAGGGAGAGTGTCATGGCGTGTTTATTTGGGGAACTGTAAGCCGGGTTTTAGGGCCATGGTCTGCCTCTTGAAAAGGAGCTGCAGTGTGTCCAGGTGTGGGGAAACCTCCCCCAGGATGACTTGGATGGGGGTGGCCCCTGGGATAGAAGTTGGTGCCCTGTCATGGCTTCGTGTCCCTTCTCCCAGTGTCCTGGAGGGCACCTGCTCTTAGAGGCAGCCAGAGCAACGCGTTGGTAGACATCCTTGTGTGCCAACCGTAAGCGCAGACGGCAGCTGCCGTGGGCCCCTTTGAACAGGAACGCGTCTTCTTCCCTTTCTGACAAGTAACGGGCAGGAATCGGGGCAGACCAGATGTCTCGGGTCTGGATTCTTGTGCAAATCCCACTTGATGCAAAGACGGTGTAGACTGCATGCAAGGTTTCCGCTTATTTGCTGGTTGGTTTTGGTGATTTTGGGGGGCAAGGGAGTTGGTCTTTTTTACTTAGTTGTAGAATAATAACCAGGTCACTTCCTGGTACGCTCTTGTGGAAAGGGAAAGTGATAGAAGTCAGCAGCAGCCCTGCTGCTCTGAAGGGCCACCCAGATATTCACAGTAACGTGCCCAAGTTGGTCATAAGCCAGCAGGGACCCGGCTCACTCAGAGTTTGAGTTTCAGGCTGATGATCTGTTTCACAAGGCAACAGGAACCTCCGTGCAAGGAGCCGCCTTCCGTGTAAAGGGTGATGAGCCGCCGGTCTGAGAACGGCCCTGTAAGGCGTTAGGGGACGGGACGAACCCAATCGGTGTGCTCATGGACGGTCCCGTAGAAAGGGGGTTCCGCCACGTGTCGAGTCTGTCCTTCACTCCGTCGGTGCCCAGCAGCCGTCAGAAGGGCACTTGGACAACAGCCCCGCTGGGACGGAAAGGCATTTCTGGCACTTTCCAGGACAAAGGTGAACTCTGAAACAGTTCCATGAAACCAAAGGGCCTCCTCAAAGTGCATTGGTCAGAGATCGGCGCCAGGCAGAGAGCAGGTGCTGGGACTTCCCGACCCCTCTCAGCAGACCCGGGCAAAAACCCCGAGACCTTCCCACACTCCCCAGGCTCATGACTGTTGTCACAAGGCCCCTCCCGTTGACAGCGACTTACAGCTCTCCCCCAGCTCTGTGTTCTCGCCCGTTAGAACACAGGCTATTTTGATACACTCTGAACAAGGAAATGCTTTTGCAATAACTTGACACTCTTTATCACTTGGGACGAGCTCAAAGAATGATCCCAGTAACTTCTAAAATGTCAGTGTGGATGGTGGGGCCTTTATTTGAGGAGACTAGTTGGGTCGTAGAAGGTGGGCAATATGGTGGAACAGTTGACTTGGCATTAGACGGGGAGACAGGTGTTGCCTTAAGAAGTCAAGAAATGGGGGTGTACCAGGCAGTAGCTTGTGTGCGTGTGTGTACGTATTCCAAAGGGAATATGCTTTTGAAGGCCCTCGAGTTCCTACTCATCGCTGTATAGAGAAGGAAGAATAGAATTGAAGGCCATACCCACGACATTCCTTCCAGAGCTGTGTCCTTGGGGGATGTGTTGAGAACATAGCAGCTGAGCCTGCTGGCCCGGACAGGGTGACCATGACTCTTCTCTTCTCTTTTGCACACACGTCCATTCTCCAGAGGACACGTGCAGTGTTGGACCTCACCTTGTGGTGCTGTCTGACTTTTCAGATGGCCTCACGTCATGCTGGTTAGATGGTGGTGGGAACAGAGGCCCATGTGCTCATGATGCTGTGCACTCTCTCCTCTCGCAGGAACGCTGGGACGCCGTTTCTCCTGGTCTTGTCATACCTGCACGTGCACACGGCCCTCTTCTCCTCCAAGGACTTCGCCGGCAAAAGCAAACACGGCACTTACGGCGACGCTGTTGAGGAAATGGACTGGAGCGTTGGTATGTGTGTGTTTGACTTCCTTGTGTGCTCATGGTGTCTCTGAGTCCTCCTCCTTCTCCCTCATGTCCCGGGAAGGGCCACCTCCGTGCCCCATGCCTGAAAAGACAGCAGATGGGTTTTTGGATTTTTTGAAAAAGGTTATGAAATGGTAAGTGAGAAAGGGAAATGGAACGTAAACAGCGTCTTCAGCCCCAAGGTCGTGGCTGCGGTAGCCACTGGCTCATTGCCGGGGGAAGACGGGGCCTGGGGGCCGACGAGTGCAGGTGAACGGAGAAAAGAAGCCAACGCGGTGTTAGCTTTCCTATCATGGATCCTGTTGACAAGGAAATGTGCACAGCACCGTGTCTTCTGCAGCGACATTAGGTAAGTGGTAGGTTTGGGGACGCAGAAGACCACAGGCGCACACGGCCGGGGCACGCCGCTGCGGGGTCTCCTGGCGATGCCCTTCTATCTGGAGCCACGGCCCCTGTGTTTTCTTCATCCAAGACTGGTGTTCTGTGGCCGCCCCCATGAGGACGGTTACACTGCCTTGTCCTTTGTGTCCCTTCTCCTACTTCCTAAGAAAATTATTCTCTTCCTGGAAAACGTGCCATTGTGTTTCCAGAGGTGCTGGGAAGACTTTTTTTTTTTTTTTTAAAGTGTCCTCTCCATATCCATGAGATCACCCTGTCCCTGCCGTCTTGGCTTTTCTCTGGCAGACCCAAGTGATGTCAGGTGTGTTCTGTAGCGTGAAGGGGAAGCAAAGGGATGGGAAGCCAGGGGTCTGAACCCATCACTCAGCACCTGTCATTGCCGGTGACACTGTCCCTTGTGAGGATGTTGCACAATCCCTGTGGACAAAAGGGTGCACCGTTGTCCAAATGTCACCAGCCCACAGGTTGCTTATGATTTTCATGTATTTGTTTTCCTAGTCTCTTTTTTTTTTTTCCTTTTCTCATTCTTCCTCTTTTTCTTTGTGCACCAAATTGGTAGTTTTTAACTCTTCCATCTACATGATTTGGAAGTAAGCTGAGCATTGCCAAGGAGCATTTTTTTTTTTTTTTTTGGTTGGTTGGTTTTGAGCTGCAAATTGAACATGATGCTGGTTGCTTATGGGGACGATGAGAAGAACAAGTTTTGGTTTGTTCCATTTTGTTAAATCTCAAAAGGAGCATTGTCTTAAGAAACAAAAGGACAGGACCCTCGTGCTCCCTCTAGCTGTCCATGCACAGTGTCCGTGAATCCGAGAGAGGTCTTAAGTAGTTAGGCTTCCATTCTGTCGTCTTTATGTGAAGAATTCAAATGAGGCAAGCCCTCGGCCTCTTTCTTCTCTGAGGGTCTGTGATTCTGTAGAAGAACGGAGAGGGGGTCCCTGTGATGAATGCTGGGGCTCACAAAAGCACAACATTTCCCTTTTCAAGACTGACAGGACAGATGCCTGTACTGGGGCTGTCCCGGACACCAGGACAAGCCTGCCTCTCTTCTTTTCTGCTTCTTTAAATGTTGCCTGTGAATCCCTTTACGTTTTCCACACCTTCACGGTGTGACTCGGTAAAACATTTCACCTCCTTGATGACTGTTGTATTTTAAGGAACGGGTTTCTTGGACGACTGCCTTTGTGGGGTAACACGCGGGCCCGTGCTGGTACCATCCAGCGGACTGATGAATTTTTGTTTCATTATCTTGCCAGAGATGTGTCCCCTGACTCATGAGCAAGTCTGACGCTCAGTGTTTTCCCCCTCCAGGTCCCCTCTAGAATGAAACGGTTCATGTTTTTCAGTCTTTGAGGGCGCGTTAGAACCCGATGTCCCATTTGTAGATGATTCTGTGCTTTTCTTTTTGCCAAAAAATGAAGTCCTCCCCGTAAGCAGTGACGTCCATGCGTCAGAACGTGTCTGCTGTTTTACGAGACCAGCACATCTGAGCGTTTCAAGGAACATCCCTTCTTTCCAAGAAAAGCCTTTCCTTATGAGGCTGAGGGGACTGCGGCGTTCTGAAAAATTACATAATAAAATGAAATGGGGATATTTGCTTGAAAATGATGCCTCCTGCAAGAGAGGCCTGAGACAGGGGAGTGGGTAGTGGCAGAGGGCACGTCTCTGCCTTTTGGAGCATTTTCTTTCAAAATTGTTGGATGCAGCCTCATTCTGTGGAACCCAGCCTCCTCCACTGCAGGGTTCCCTGTACCTGGAAAGGCATCGTCATGACAGAAACGTTCATTACTTAGTTGTGCTTTCTCCATAGTCATTCCCACGCCACGTCCTTGTGTCATTGCCTTATTCTTAGCTGAGGGCTGGCACTGTCTCGGGTAGCTATGGTGAGGGGGTAGATCTGCAGCGAGGACCACAGAAGGGGTCCTGCACGGACCCCACATGGCAGGCTCACATCCTGGATCCAGAATCCCTCTGAGGAACCGACGGGTGGTTAGCCTTCGTTCTTAATCTCAGGGACTGACGGCACGGGGAGTCTGCACACGTGCCGTCCTCTGTGCTGTGGGCCGTCAGTGTGGGAGTGTGCTCATTGTCCCCATTCTGAAGGTGAGGCAGATGAGGTTGGTGAAGGCTGATGCACCTGCCTGCGTCAGGTGTATTTCTTACAGAATCAGTAGAAGTGACGAGCAGGAACCTGAATGCAGGTGTTTCCCCAGAGTGTGAAGGTAGTTGCACCCAGTCCCACCACTTTCCCTATAACAGGAAAGGCCACCTTGTAAAAACAGAAAAGGCCACCTGGTCAGTGCCGATGGCCAACCATGAGTCAGAGGGAAAGAGCTCATTCTTGCATTACGCACGTTTTTTTGAATATGGGAACCTAATTTTCTTTTTCGGAGGCGGTGAGTAATACTGATATGGCCCTTGACGTAAGGGAAGTTAGGAACCACAGAGGATTTAAGATTCTTCCAGGAGATCCAAAACTAACACAGCGTGGAAAGGAATGAATGCGTGTCCTGGCAAAAATGCCGATGTGCTGCTCGAGAGTTTGGGGAGGGGATGGACAGGCAAACGGGGCCAGTGCACACAGCCCACCCCATCATTTTGGCAGGATACCCCCACACCCCCACCCTCGTATCCTGGGGGCAGTTGGGGCACCTTCACGAAGTATAATTTTCAATCCCAAGTAATTCTGAAGATGTAGAGCTTTGGGGAGGAATAAGGCAAATCAGTGTGTTCAAATGGGCACCCGGTATCTTGAGGGTGAGCCATCCTAGCTGTCCTCCCTCCCCCGGAAATGGAGTGATTCTATCTTGGGATCTGTGAAGTCGAGCAGGGCAGAGGGAGCAGGCGGAGGGACGGAGGCGGTGGGCGCTGCTGGTTTCTTCTGTGAGCCTCATACCGTTCCAGACGACACCTCAGGTCTGGGGGGCGGAATCTGCGTGCCTTGAGCATTCATTCAGAGCTCCGTGCTGTTCGTAGAGCCACAGCAAGGCATCATCAATCAGCACTTGCTCAGGATTCCACTAGCCCATCCTGGATCCTACAAAGGGAGATGCAGCTTGAGCACAACGAGGTGAACGATGATATAAATGTCAGACTTCAGGTTGGTCCTTTCAACGAAGAAAAAGTCCCTCCCGCTTCAAGGGTTGGGATCCCGTGGCTGACGTGGGTTTGTTTTTTTTTTTTTTTTTCTTTCAAACAAAAACCATAAGCTTTTTTTCTCCAGCAGAAGCACCACCAGCCTTGCTGTTGGCATGGAGAAGTCTTGAGGAGCGAGGTCTCCGTTGCTCAGTATCTGTGATGTGGTACCCACTGGTGGCTGTGTCTGATGCTCTGATCGTCCCTTTCTCCCTGCCTTTCCCTCCGTGGGGCTGGACAGGGCCACCTTCTCTGGGCGCAGGGAAGGAACACACAGCCAACCAGAAGGAAAAAATAGCAGATGCATTCATGCAAGACAAGCTAGGGGTTATGGGACAGTGCGAGCTCCTTTTTTCCGTGCCCGACGTAGAGTTGAGCACATAGCACGTGGTATCCGTGGCCACACATCAAATCCATCTTGAGGAATGGAGAATAAATTGGAAGGTCTCATTTAGCAGGTCAGGATAGTCCCAAGAACCTCAAGGAACACAAGCACATGGGGAGACTTGGGTGTTGGTCAGAGCTCCTCAAACCTATGGCGTAATTCTAACCAAGGTTTGGCTTATTGGGCATGAGTCTAATGGAGTTTCCCTTTAAACATGGACTCTTTCTAGGACTGTTGTGAGACCCTGTGGATAATCCCTCACTTAGTAGGTCCATGTGCCTGGAACTAAGTGCTCTGGTTGGGTTCATGTAGAAGACATTTGCTTCTGGAATGCTGCAGACCAGGAGCATAGCAGGGGCCCCAGAAAATCATATTTAAGGGTGAAATCAGGGGAGTCAGGTGGCTGATACTTGCAAGGTCCTGTCCAAGGTGCTGAGATTGCTAGGAAAGTGTGGCTTTCTTTTACCTGTGTGCATGAAGGTCCACCTGTGGGAGTGGACAAGCGTGCTTGGAAAAGATACTGAAAACACTTGAGTAAGTCATGACTCAAGGTTTCCTTCCATTGAAATCCAAGGTAAAAGTTGAGAGATGAACTTCTATGTTTCTACTTCTCGTCAGCTAGCATCACAGGGTCTAAAAAAGCAATGGTAACGTTCTTTTTGTGATTCTTTGGTTCTCTGAGGAATGTAATCTGGGCCACTATGCTGGATATTTCCTTTGGGATTCAATACATCAATTTTCTGTCTTGAGTTTTTAAACGCTCCTTTTGTTGATAAACGGGGACTCCCTCTAAAGCGTGGAAATAATGTGCTCACTTCTGATGCATACTGAAAATGGAAGGCCGGGTCGACCATTCAGAGGAAGGGCAAAATAGAAATAATCCCCAAAGGAAAAACAAGAAAAGTAGAAGACCAAGAAGAGTAGGAGTGGGGTTATCAGAACTCAGGGGTAAAGAATACTTCAAAAGACAGTCAACTCCAGCTAGGAAGAAGTGAAAAGACTCAAATAGGTTTAGCTACTAGGAATATTAGGGTCGTAGGACGTACCTGAGCGTGCAATATTTGAA